TGTATGACCCCGCCACGGACCAGTCCGATGGTGGTGAGTCCCTAGCCGGACAGGAGCGTCAGGCCCCTCTCACCGTGGACCGAACGGCGACCCCATCGGCCCAGCCGATTGGGGACGCTGCGCCGTCGGCCCAGCCGGTCGGGAGGTCACCTGCTTCCGTCAGCTCCAACGACATCATGATGGAAGAAGACCTCGAAATGGAGGGGGGCGTCGAGTTTCACCCAGCGGAAGTTGCAGCCCAAAAGAAAGCTGCGCCCGCGGCCAAAGACCCTGTTAAGCTCACAATGCAGGGCATAATAGACGACCCCTCTCAGTCAAGCGCCAAGCGCGAGACGATGCCGGTCGTGTCCAGCTTATGCCCCTGGTTTGTAACGCCGTAGATGCCGCGATGCTAGCCAGGGACGACAAGCTCGATCAGGGCGCATGGCTCGACGCACGGTTGTGCCAGTCCCCAGGTTGCCATTACATGGAGGGCCTTTGGTGGACGAATCTCGATCGTACCCCGTCGCGGCACGACCCCGAGTGGGTCGGGCATTGCTGCCAGAAGTGCTGGCGCAGTTCGTCTGGCCAGGATGTCTGCGGCCATGGTCGCAGCTGCGCGCACTCACTTGCCCCACTTAGCGCCTACAACAATTACAAGCCCGTCAAGAAGGCCGCCGCCTCCTAACCGGCCCAGCCGGGAGGGGGAGAGCGAGCTAGTACGCTGACTGGGCAGGGAAAAGAAGTGCGCGACGAAAAGTCGATTAGCTGCTCGCGCGCGAAGCTTATTACCCATGAGGAGCAGCTCCTCTTTCGCTGTTGGAACGCCCGACCTGGCGATTGTGTGGGCGCTCTGCTCAGACCGCCCAAGGGGTGGAGCTGGCGCAACACAATGGAGCGGCATGACGTCAGTCATTCGCGGGGCGACCAAGTCGTTACCGCGTTAAAGGCTGATCCGACCGCCTTCGCAGACGATCTGCGATCGTTTGTTTTCCAGTGTCTCGCAGGACCCGCGGGTCGTCCATTGGACGATGTTCGACAGAAAGGCCTCGCGCCGCTTCGACTGCGTTCCTCCTAAGGTTCTTCAGATCCCCGAGGGTGCTCATTTTCAATCGTACCCCGACGACGCCACGGAGATGGTCTGTAAGCTGTACACAGCAGAACCAGGGCAGTCCGGCCGTCTTGTCCGCAAGCTCTGGAGAGGCGAGGTTGTCGGCCCCGCCGTTGGCCCAGCCAAGCGGTGCATCACGGGCTTCGGCGGCTTCGTCTGCGTCCCAGTGGTGGACGCTGAGACTGAGGGCTCCCGCATCGTTTGGATGAGCATTCGGGGCCCATCAATGCACTCTCCGCCCTGCGGCCAAGACGTAGGGGACGGGTGGGGTACCATGTCTGCCCTGCCTGTTGCCAAGGGCCACCTCCGCAAGCCAGCCTACGTGGTCGAGGGGGCCCTCGCCGAGTCAGCCAGAGCCGATTACTTTCAATCTTTCCCCGACCAGGCCAGGGCCTGGCGCATGGCTCTTACTCGGCACACGCGCCCCCTTGATTTTCAAGCATGGCTCGCGCGCTTAGGGCTTGGAACGAGTGCTGGCTCGAGCGGAGAGCCATGCATCCCAGCAAACGCCGCAGCCGAGACGGCTCGCCCGCGCGACCCAGTCGTTGCGAGTGAGAAGCCGCCTCGGCCCGCAGCTCCCCTCGAGCTGCCAGTCCCCGAGGCGCCCCCTGAGGAGCCTCGCAAGGAGGAAAGCGATGACCCTGTCGTCGACCCACGCCGCATTGTGTTCTGCCCATATGGCTGCGGCCTCGAAGGAGAGGCCCAGACCTTAGAGAAGCATCTGCCGCGTTGCAGGAAGGTGCCGCGAGGGCGAAGATTGCGCGAGCAGCGACCGGCCGACCCAGTCGGCTCGGCCAGCGAACAAGCGAACGCCGCGACGGCGCCTCCACCGCTTGACCCGTTGCCACCAAAGCCTCCTGATACTCAAGGAGTTGGGCGCCAGGCGGCCGGCGGGCAACCCGCAGGGTCGATCGACCTCAGGTGCAGCTGCCCCGCCCGGCCAAGCCGAAGGCGGGGCCGGCGGTGGCCCCTCCCCAGGCCCAGCCGATGGTGGAGGAGCTCCGCCTGGCTCGGGTGGCCCTCCTGCTGGAGACCCTCCGCCCTCTGGCGGCCCCCCTGGGGGCGACGGCGGAGGCGGGCCTCCTGACCCAGTGCCCATGGACATCGTTGATGACGGCCAGGGCCCGCCCTACGTTGGGCGCGGTGCCTGGAATGTTCTCGATTACCATGGGAACAAGGACAGCTACGCCGAAGACGTCAACACTCCCTCGCCCGAGTGGGGCGCACGCGTGACTGAGTTCCTTCAACTTTACGTTCGCGTGACTCATCTCCGCTTGAAGGCCTGGATCAACGGTTTGTCATTCCAGGAGAAGTGCCAGGCCATAACTCAGGTTGCCCGTCAGACTGGGCACACCTGGGTGCCCGTTGCTGGCGAGGACATTGTGGCCATGGCGAAGACTGGACAGCCCCCCGCGAACTTTTTCCACCCTTTGTGCATGATGAAACATTCGACTAAATACAAGTTCTGGCCCTGTACAGCTCATCTTGTCTCCGACCCCACGGTTTCTTTCAAAACGGCGACCGGCAAGAACGCCGCGCCAGGGGGACGTATCCCGTATTTCTTAGGCGACTACGTCCATGGCGTGTCCGCTAGCGTCCGAGGAGGCTGCCGAGGCCCAGACCTCCGGGAGTTCTCTGAGAAACATAGCTGGTTGGACTCAGGGCATGATTATTACAAAAGGGGCGTCCATACACCAGAGCGTTTCGTATTTAGGACCTTTAACGACATTGCCGATCCTGTAACTCAAAACTTGTTTGGCATTCGTTTTGAGGGTAAGCCCGGGGCGCCCGCTCAGCCCGAGAACCCGACGAAGCTCGCTAGAGCCCTACGTCTTCTGCTCGTGACCGCCGATCGCATCATAGACGATGTCGTTAAGCGCTCGCACGATGGCACGATCGAGATCTTGTACATTGGCGGAGATCACAGGTGCTGGCAGCCCCCAGACGGCAGCGTCAAAGTTGACCCACTCTGGGACGACGTGGCCACTCTTGCCCGGGCTCAGATGAACCGTCGGATTGAGGACTACAGGGCCGCGGGGGTGGAGCCACGCATCATGATTCGCGACGGCGCGTGCCTTTACCGCCAGCTGCACCATTACACTGGCGACTCGTGCCATTTCCTGTCATCTCATACCGACTACAAGATCGAAGCAGACGGACAAATTGTGAGTTGCACGGCGGCCGAGATGTTTACGGAACGCATGCTGGGACGACGCGCGCGCGTGCGCACTTCGTCCCATTTTTGCAAGGGGGTCGCGAAACAAATGTTATGTTAGAACCAAAAATGTCACCGCATAGTGTTTTTTTCGCAAAGGGGACCTCAGGGGGGGGGATACCGGCCCCCCGGGGATAGTGCAAATTCATATTTAGGATGGACATGTGGTTAGAATCGCATATGACTTACATACCCGAAAGGTGAACCGATGACGCCGGGGGGGGGGGGTAGATCCTATTCTGTTTTTAGAAAGGAGAGTGAAGTGGAGGAGGAGGAGGAGGAGGAGGAAGAGGAAGAAGAGGAGAAAAGGAACGCGAGGAGGGGGGAGGAGGCGGAGGATCTTTGGTGGACGGGTCCTGTCCGCCTCGGTGCTCTGCCAAGGGGGATGAGAGTAGGGAGGATAGGAGGACAAACGAGGTGCGCTCGCGCCATATCTGACATCCCACCTCCCACCCATCCCTTCCTATTGCGCTGACTTTTTTTCAGTACCCGCTGACGCGTGTCATAGCGGACCCAGAACTCCCAAATGACCTCGCCGTGTCATGCGCAATCGAAAATGGGAAGCTGCGAACATAGGAGGAGGGGGAGAAGGAGGACGAGGAGGAGGAGGTGGAGGAGGTGGAGGCGGCGGATTGGGGCGAGCAGCAGCAGCAGCAGCAGCATCAGGAGCTGGAGTGCACAGAGCTGCAGGAGCAGAGACAGGGGAAGGCGGAGAAGATAAAAGGAGGAGGGCGACAACGATGAAAGAGGATTCAGATCCAGAAAAGTGGGCCGGCGCTTGGGCGAGAGTGCCATTCTGAACGGCGGGGGCAAAGCGCCGATCCGACAATGAGGCCCACGCTGCAGCGGGAGCGCCAGTGTGAAACACTGGACAGAATCGGATTGTAGCAAAGCAGCCGTAAGATCAACAACAATGTTGGAAGTACTGCGTGCGAACAGAATGCGCGGAGAGGGGCGGCTATCTTCAGGACGGCGTCAGGGGAGAGAGGAGAGTAACATTCATAATGTTCAGCTGAGGAGAAGGAGGAGGAGGAGGAGGAGGAGGAGGAGGAGGAGGAGGAGGAGGAGGAGGAGGAGGAGGAGGAGGAGGGGGGGAGGGAGGAGGAGGTGGAGGAGGCGGATGATTAGGGGGATGAGCAGGAGGAAATGAAGGATGAAGGGGGAGGACGAGGACCAGGACGAGCAGCAGCAGCAGCAGCAGCAGCAACATCAGGAGCTGGAGTGGATAGGGCGGAAGGAGCAGAGACAGGGGAAGGCGGAGAAGATAAAAGGAGGAGGGCGACAACGATGAAAGAGGATTCAGATCCAGAAAAGTGGGCCGGCGCTTGGGCGAGAGTGCCATTCTGAACGGCGGGAGCAAAGTGCCGATCCGACAACGAGGCCCACGCTGCAGCAGGAGCGCCAGTGTGAAACACTGGACAGAATCGGACTGTAGCAACGCAGCCGTAAGATCAACAACAATGTTGGAAGTACTGCGTGCGAACAGAATACGCGGAGAGGGGCGGCGATCTTCAGGACGGCGTCAGGGGAGAGAGGAGAGTAGTATTCATAATGTTCAGCTGAGGAGGAGGAGGAGGAGGAGGAGGAGGAGGAGGAGGAGGAGGAGGACGACGACGGGAGGAGGAAGAGGAGGCGGAGGGACAGAAGAAGGTTGCGGGAGGGGGAGGCGGAGGAGGGGGAGGTCTCGCGCCAAGAGGAGTGCGCCGTGATGCTGCTGTCCACCCGCTCTGGTGGCCTCGGGCTCAACCTGCAGGCGGGCGCGCGGACGCGCCCCGGCGGGGCACTGGCCAGCCACGCCGATCGGGCGTGGCAGGGGCTTCTCGTCGTCGTCGTCATCGTCGTCGTCGTCGTCGTCGTCGTTTGTGGCGCCACCGTCGTCCACCATCGAGGTTCGAGGATCGACGTTCGAGGTTCGAGGATCGGGGATCGACGTTCGAGATTCGACGATCGACGTCGGAGGGTCGAAGGTCGAGGTTTTGGGAAGTCTGGTCATTGTTAGCGACATCAGGACACCATCATCACGCGATCGGGCCATCATCCGGGCGCCCGACAGACTATCTTGACGCGGCACCGTCCACAAAACACAGGGGCACCGTGACCTGACCACCGCGATACCGCAGCCATTTTGGCTCAGGGGCCGCCGCGGGCGTCCCGCAGCCACCCTCGGGACGACATGCGCGGCAGGGTGGCGCGGCGGCCCGGTGCCCGCTGGCTAGCGGCGGCGGCAGCGGCAGCGGTGGCGGCCAGCAGCGGCGGAGACGGCGTGCCCTGCGCGCTCGCCGGCGGCCAGACGCGCCCTCTTGGGCACATCTCGCGCCCGCCGCCCGGTTGGCCCGGCACGGCCCCGACGGCTGCCAGCGCCCACCGGCTCGGAAGGCGCCGCGCTGCGGCCGCGGCGTTGCTGCCGCCGCTGGCGGTCGCCGGCGGCGTGCTGCCCGGTGCGCGGCGCGCGCGCGCGGCGCCACGGAGGCTGCCGCCAGAGGCATCCGCAGAGGTCCTCCGCAAGAGCGACGCCGCGCTGGGGAAGCGGCTCGAGGAGTTCGAAGGAAGAAACGCTGCATAACCATCATTTTTCGGAGCTCCGCGCGAACGTTCTTGGATCGTGGCGCTGGGGCCCCCTGGCGGCGCCTCGGGCGCCGCCCCTGGGAGCTCCGCTCGCGGGAGGGGAGTTCAGCGCAGATCCACGAAATCCTCGCGGAGCTCCAACAGCTCATGTTTCTGCCGCGTGTCGTCTTACAGAGGAGTGGGAGGCTCTCCAGGCGAAGGTCAGGGGCAGCGCCAGGTGGGGATGGGCTTAGGGGGGACGCATCGACCACCAACCGCCCATTCATGGTCGACATGGGGCCCGATAGCCTATCCCGCCCAGGAACGTGCGGATTCGCAATCGGTGGTTTAACGCCGATCTATCGGCGATGCATCCCCGATTACAGGTCGATGATTCCCCCATGAGCCAGTCCCCCCCCCCTGACGCTCCCCCTCGGAAGGGGGGCGGCGAGGTCCAGCTGGCCCTGAAGAAGTCCCTCACTGACCTGTCGGCCGCCATGAAGTCGCGGATCTCGGAGAGGGGAAGACGGCACGAGCATAACGTTCGGGGGCCCACGCTGATTGCTTGCGTCGGCGCTTGCCCCGCCTCCCTGGCGCGCGCAGCGCGCCAGGGGCGGCGCCGGAGGCGCCGCTAGGCGCTGTCTTCTTCTAGGGTGAAGGGAAGATTTGAGTACACCGGAACTCGGGTTAGCCGATGCTTGTTGATGGGCCCGGGCTGTTCTGACGGTCGAGTTGTCGTGTGATGTTTGCAGCGGGAGTTCTCTTCAAAATTCAGATTAGGTCTCGTAATTTTCTTGATGGTTCTGTCAGCCCAAACCCGAGTCCCCCGAACCCGAGTCTTACGTCTCCTCGGTTTTGTTTGGTGACGCTGGTCCCCCGACGTCCGGCGTCTCCTAGACATCCAGCGTCATGATTTGTTCGAGGCGCGGGCCCCCGACCTCTCGACCACTTCCGCGGGGCCGGTCTTTCATGCCGAGGTTGTTTTTGCTCAGCCCTCCTTGGTTGGGTTCTCGTTTTGAGTAAAGCCAGGGGGCCACATGCGAACCCTACCCCTACCCCCCACGATTTCTGGGGGGAGGGTGGGGGTCACTTCGCTCGGGAGTTTCCGAACGAAGTGAATCCCACCCTTCCCCCCAGAAATCTTGGGGGGCAGGGGTAGGGTTCGCATGTGGCCCCCTAAAAGCTTTGCTCGCGCGTGTTATCCTCCCGCCTCCCTTCTCCTGCCTGCTGATGTCGCCGTCCCCCCGTCTGCCTCTCTCTCCCTTCGCCATCCCTGGGGGGCTGCGATCTGCGAAACTGTCGCCACTGTCGTAGGCTGCTGGGGAGGATCAGCATGGTGGGACCCTGCCCAGATTCAGATTATACCTCGTCATCCCTGGGGGGCTGCGATCTGCAAATTTTTGTCGCCACTTTCGACGGCTGCTTGGGGGGGTGTGCAGCATCGTGGGGCCCTATCCAGCTTCAAAGTAGCCCTCGCCATCCCTGGTGGTCTGCGATCTGTGCATTTGTCGCCACTTGCGAGGGCTGCTGGGCGGGCCAGCATTGTGGGGACTCTACCCAGATTAGACCTCGCCATCCCTGTGGGGTTGCGATTTGCGAATTTACCTCCAGTTTCGAGGGTTGCTGTGGGGGCTAGCATCGTGGGGCCCTGCCCAGATTCAGAGTAGACCTCGCAATCCCTTGGGGGCTGCGATCTGCGAATGTGTCGCCACATTCCAGGGCTGCTGGGGGGCCAGCATCGTGGGGCCCTGCCCAGATTCAGATCAGACCTCGCCATCCCTGTGGGGCTGCGATTTGCGAAACTGCCGCCTCTTTCGAGGGCTGCTGGGGGAGCCAGCGTAGTGGGGCCCTACCCAGATGCAGAGTAGATCTTGCCATTCCTGGGAGTCTGCGATCTGCAAATTTGTCGCCACTTTCGAGGGCTGCTGGGGCGGCCAGCATGATAGGGCCCTGCCCAGATTCAGATTACACCTCACCATCCCTGGAGGGCTGCAAGCTGCGAAGTGGTCGCAACTTTCGAAGGCTGCTTGGGGGGCCAGCATCGTGGTGCCCTACCCAGATTCAGAGTAGACCTCGCCATCCCTGGGGGGCTGCGATCTGCGAATATGTCGCCACATTCGAGGGCTGCAGGGGTGGTCAGCATAGCGGGGCACTACCCAGATTCAGAATAGACCTCGCCATATGGGGTGGTCTGCGATGTGAATGTGTTTCCACTTTCGAGGGCTGCTAGCGGCCCAGCTTAGCGCGGTGCTACGAAGATCAGAGCGGGACCTCGCCATGCCTGGGGTCTGCGATCTGCGAAATTGACGCCACTTTCGAGGGCTGCAGGGGGGCCCAGCATGGTGGGGTCTTCGCGGATTCGGATTGGACCTCTCCATCCCTGGGGGGGGTACGATCTGCAAATGTTTATCGCCATTTTCGAGGCTGCTTGCTGGCAGACCGCGAAACATCATTTCTCTCCTTCCTCTGACAGTGTTTTGTCGTCACTCTCGTGCTGCAGCCATGTGCTCTTGCTTCTGCACCGCTTACGTTTGAAACTCCCTGTCCGCCTTCTCCTCTTAGTCCTCGCCTTTCTTGTCCCTCAACCCAGGAAACAACCTATCCATCTTCATCAAGCCCTTGTCCATTGATCGTTGTCCTGCGAGTCGCGCACCTCGCGAGCCTCCCTGATTCCGTTCAACATATCTCCTTGCCACGCTATCATCCTTTTTTTTATTCAACGCAGCTATCCTGACCATCCGTTGCGCATGGGTTGGATAACGACAGGGTGATTTGACGGCGCCGCGGCCCAGTAAGGGCCTCGAGAGGCCGAAAATTATGACAAAAACACCGTTTCCTTTTTTAAGGACGCCAGGATGTCTGGGTCTTCTAGGATCGAGGACGATCCCGATCCGGACCTCATGGAGCAGATGGAGACCGTGGAGGACCGGCGGTCGCAGGCGGACTTCCTCGCGTACTCGTCGGTCTTCTGCGGGACCTCCGCGGGAGGCGGCACGTCTGGAGGACAGACCGCGGGGGCGGCAAGGGTCTGGGACGAAGACCGGCTGCAGTTTCTGCCTGCTTTTGCGAGGCTGCATGGCTTATACATGATCCATGGCTCCACCCCCCTCCGCCCCCTCCCCAATGCTGATGGGGTCGCCCTCCCCTCCCTCCGCCTTCGCTGGATGGGTACGCCCGTGAGTCTCGCTAGAGCCTCGCGAATGGGATCCCCCCCCCCCTGTGGTCGTGGACCTGTGGGCGTGGCGTGGTGGTGGGTGCCACCGCCCCCCCCGTCCCCTTGTGGGTGTGGAGTGTTTCGTCGTCGTCGCCGTCGCCGTCGTCGTCGTCGTCGTCGTCGTCGTCGTCGTCGTCGTCGTCCCCCCACCCATCCCATCCGGGGGCATTTCTGGGACCCATCCCATCTGGTTGGGGGATGGCTGTGAACACCTCATACCTCCTTGCGTCAATGCACCGAGGTTCGAAGCTCGAAGTTCGAAGGTCGAGACTTGAGATCCTGGCATCGGATTTCTTCACACGGGCAATATGACCCTGTTTCGGGTCCCAGGGCCCTGACGGATCGATCCGGCTGGAAAGATGCCGCAGGAAAATGGGGTCAAGGTTTTTGGTCGAGTTGTTCTACGATTTGCAATTTGTTCGTGTCGTCGGATCTTGGGTCCGAGTTTTGTTCGTTATTGTTGGTCTTTGGCCTTGCTCGGCGTTACCGTCAACAAAAACGATTGGGAATGAAGAGTTAGTTCCAGGGGAAAGCCTCAGGGTCCAAGTCCAGGACCCATTTCTCTGAGGAGCCGTGTCTTTCATGGTGGACATATCCAACACCTGGGAGCCAGTCCTCTTGGCCCCTGTGAGGCGGTGGACATTTATATCTTCGGGCCCCTGAGGGCCCAAATATGCTTCTCAGAGTGAGGGGGCTGAACCGAACGGTCATTCACTGTCCCTGGGTGCGTTGCTGAAGTGGAATTCCGCGATGCGGATTCTTGTTGTTGTTTGTTGTTTGTTGCTGTCGTCGTCCCACCCGCGACCCGCCCCGCGACCCACCCGCGACCCACCCCGCGACCCACCCGCGACCCACCCCGCGACCCACCCCGCGATCCACCCGCGACCCACCCGCGACCCACCCGCGACCCACCCGCGACCCACCCCGCGACCCGCCCGCGACCCACCCCGAGATCCCCACGGCGACCCACCGGCGACCCACCTGCGACCCACCCGCGACCCACCCCGCCACCCCGCGACCCACCCGCGACCCACCCCGCGACCCACCCCGCGACCCACCCGCGACCCGCCCCGCGACCCGCCCGCGACCCACCCCGCGACCCACCTAACATTTTCGGCGCTTGCGGCGGGTTTCTTTTGCATTCGTTCCAGGTGGAGGGGAACCTGCGACCCACCTGCGACCCAAACCGCGCCCGCGACCCACCCCGCGACCCACCCAACATTTTCGGCGCCTGCAGCGGGCTTCTTTTGGACTCGTTCCAGGTGGAGAACCTGCGACCCACCCGCGACCTAAACCGCGTTCAGTGTACAAATCAAAATGTTCGGCGCCTGCGGCGGGCTGTTTTTGAATTCCTTCCAGGTGGAGGTGGAAAGCCCGCGACCCACTCGCGACCCAAACTACGTTCACTGAACAAGCCAAAAATTCGGAGCCTGCGACGGGCTGTTTTTGCATTCGTTCCAGGTGGCCCACCATCGATCCCCCCCGCGCTGAATTTGTCAGAGCACGCAAATCGGCGCCTGCGGCGGGCTTGCTCGCATTGGTTTGGGAAAGCGCCCTCGTGCCATTCCCAGGATCCAGCCCACGTTGAGGAGGAGGAGGAGGAGGAGGAGGAGGACGACGAGGAGGAGGAGGAGGAGGAGGAGGAGGAGGAGGGCGCCATCGACAGGGAAGGTGAGGGCCACGAGGTCCGCCAGCTCGACGCCCGCGTCGCCCGCGCCCGCCCCCTCACTCTTATCCGCAATTGCGGGGTGCTACGTATCCACCGCCCCCTGGGGTCCTAGGAGATTGGTTCCCCAGGCGGTGGACGTGTGCAAGTCCCCGCCTCACGCCTTTGGCTTTTGGCTAGAAGTCGTTGTCGATGTCGATGACGCCGCAGGCGTCGTCCGCAACGAGGCGCGCCTGCCTGACAGCGGCCGCTGTCGGTTTTAGACAGCACTTGTTGCTGGGCGTCGGCCCCGTTGTTCTTGGTCCCTCGTCAGGCGTACAGAGCAGCACAAGCGGTCAAGGCTTGCGCTGCGACTTGCGTTTCTTGGAGGACTGCCGCAAGACCGTGGTCACACTCAGGGAGGATGTACAGAAGTTCAACAAGCTGGCCGGGGTTTGAACTCCCGCCTCACCCTTGCATCTCTCTACGCGTGTTTTGAAAATGAGGTCAGTGCTGTGGCTCCACGCATGCCTCACCATGATGGTCATTTGGAGGTGCCTCCCCTGCCCCAAAAGTGCGCAAGACAAACAATTCGGCCATCGAGGCACCATCATCAATCCCTGAGGGCACCATCGGGGCATCTTCGACAACTCATCGAGAGCGCGCCGAGACACCATTGCAACAATCCCTTGTGTTGATGTAGACTTATTATTCGTGTGCCGCTGAACAGTCCTGAGCAGTTGAGGGGGCGGTGGCGGGATACGCCACACCGCTGTAGAAGTCCGGCGAGAGGGAGGGGGAAAAAGAACACGGATGGGAAACGGGCGAGGACTTCTCGGTTGCGGCGGCCGCTTAGAGGAGACCAAACCCCAGGCTTATCGCATAGAGACAGAATTGCACGCTCGCAGCACAATTGAGCATACTACGCTTTGAAAGTTCGTACTATGTAGCCACCAGCTTCTGATTCAGTGCAGATGGTTATTTATCTGATGACGTCAGGGTGAAGGACCCAGACGGTCTTACATTGTCCCTGGGTGCGTGGCCGAAGTGGGGATCCGCGGTGCGTATCTCGTGTTGTGTTGTGAAGTCGTCGTCGCCCCGCGACCCGGCCTGCGATCCACCAGCGACCCTTCCAGAGAACCCAGCCGCGACCTATCCCGTGACCCGCAGACGAGCCAGGTCAACCTCGACTTGCTGACGACCCATCCAGAACCCACCCGCATAGCTTTTGAACAAACGTCCCCGACCTCGGTATGTTGACGTCACCGTGTGCATCCAACTGCGCGATTCCCAGTCGACCCGCTTCGGGACTCAAATGGCTTTGACAAAGAAGTCGGCGCGTCCGGCTGCGCACTGGCACCAGTGAGTGCCATCGCGTGCCCTCGCCTAAGCGGCCTGGCGTTCGTTGGTCGCTCCGGCCCTGGTGAAGCAGCCTGGGCGCCCTCTCGCTCTTGTCCGCAGTTGCGGGGTTTGCGTCTGCTGGTCTGCTACCCTGCGCCGTCTAGTGCGCAGGGTCCCCGCAGTTGCAGGCAAGACTGAGCGGGCGCAGGTCGTGGGGAGTGCGAGTCGCAGGCAGGTCGCTGGGCAGGCTGGAGCGCGCGCGGGTCGCGGCAGGCTTGGGATCTCGGCGAGCGCGGGGCGCGGGCGCGTCGTCGGCGAGCCGCGGGACAGCTTACAGGCGGGTCGTGGGGGGGGGGGGGTCGGTCATGGCACGGGTCGCGGCAGGCGCGCTCCGCAGCCTGGCGCGGGCCACCGATGGGCCGTGGGCGGGTCGAAAGCGGGCCACGGGGCGGGCCGAGAGGCGGGGCGCAGGCGGGAGCAGCGAGACCGGCAGGAGCCCGCTTCATCGGAACGCCCGGGGAGAGCGCGACCCGGGTCACCCTCGGGGGCGCGACGGCACGGCCACGCCTCGCGCCTCGCGCCTCGCGGCCTAGGCCCCGGAAAGCCGCCCTCCCCCAGAGAGGCGCAACCGCGCGTCGCTTGGCGCGAAATTCAAAGTTCGGTGGACCAGGCAGCACCGGAGGGCCACGCGCCCGAGGGACGCGTGACACCGGCGACGGCGGCCACGACGGAGAAGCGTCAGCGGCGGCGGCGACGACGGCGACCAGTCACGGGCGAGCAGGCGCGCTGCGTTCCGCGCGCCGAGGGCGGGATTTTTCGCGTGACCGCGCACTCGGCCATCGCGCGCCCGCCGCGAGGTGGCGGACACGGTGGTCCTGTTCGATTCCGACTGGAATCCGCAGGCCAGCGGGTGGGCGGAGGGAGAAACTTTTTTTTCGTTTCAGAACGACGCAAGCGAGTCCTGAGGGAAACGGGCCCTGAGGTGTTTCATAGTGTTCGGCTTCTGGTGGGCCCTCCCCAGGCCCTGGGGCTGTCAAAAAGGAGCGCAGATGAAGAACTGGTCCTGGGGGTACAGCCCCAGGGTCCAGGATCCGTCTCCCTCAGCACCCGTTCCCTCAATGCTCTTCCTCTTCCACCAGCAAGTCATGCAGCCACCGACACAGCGTGGTCAAAGGGGTTATTCTCAAGATGCGACTGGGTAGCCGCCAAACGCAGCAGAGCACCAATTACTCGCAGCGTAGTGGCCCCAGGCCTTCCTCCGTAACGGTCAGGCGGCCTACTCCTCCCTCCGTCCTCCCCTCTCCAGGCCGACCGCATAGTTTCGTTGTTTCCCACGCTGTCGTTTCTAGATTCTAGCGGCTAGCGCTTCGCGCCGTCAGCCGCCCTCTCGTTTCTGTGCGTTGGACCGCCTGCGACCCAGGGCTGGGCCTCCCTTCGCTGGGAAGGGTAGCGGTCGCAACAAGTACAATTTTCCCCTTGGCTCTCGGGGTGAGGGCCGTCAACAAGACGGCGCGCAGACTGGTGCAATGCCGAGTGCGACCGACCAACCTCCCTTCTCCTCCATCCATCCTTCCCCCTGCTGCTGCTGCTGCTGCTGCTGCTGCTGCTGCTGCTGCTGCTGCTGCTGCTGCTGCTGCTGCCGGTCCTCATGCCTCCACTGCGCGCGCGAGAAGGCCTCCTTCTCGACCAACCCGCTCGCCCCGAAATCGCGTTACAAAACGCGCTCTAGGAGAGATCTGCAGGGGGGGCGACTTCTGTATGGGGGCACGGGCCGGAATTTCGGTTGACCCCAATCAAATTGGAACGTTGCGTGCCGATGTCGGACAGGTCTGGAGCCTTCGAGGGACCCCAAACCCTCGTATTCCCCGCCCCATCCCCTGAGAGAAGCGCCAGCGTCGAGAATGTTCAGCCGCCCGCATGTGTGTGTGTGTGTGTGTGCGTGATCGGACCTGTCGGCGGCCTTACCGTCTTGCTGCCTGCGCCCCCGTACAGGGTGTGGGCCGGCTCGGCCGCGGCTCACTTCTCTTTTTGTCGCGCTCCCCAGGCCTCGATTTTGGGTAGCTTGCCACGGCCTTGATCTGCGCCATCCTGCCCGCTGTTGGTCAGTTGTTGTACTGCCATGCCGCCTTATGCTGTGTCCTTTTGGTCGCCTCACCTGTCGTCTCTCCAGGGTGTCTCGGGGGCACGGCCTGGCGGTGCCTTGCACCTCTCGTGGTGGCTAGGGCACTGGCGTTCTTTCGCTCCCAGGGGTGTGCGTGGCAATTTCCACGGACACCGCTTGTGGTCGGCGCCTTTTTCCGTTGGCAGCTTGTCCAGCGGTGGCCTTACCACCTTGCTGTTTGTGCCTTGGACTGGGTGCTGGCTGGCATGGCCGCGGCCTCTGAAATTTTTGCGTCTGCACTGCATCTGGGGTGTGAATCGCACCTGGGGCTGCATGTCGCATCTCGCTGGCGGCTTCAGCTGCATTTCAGCTCGGCTGCCGGTGGTTGGCGCAGCCCGGTGGCGGGTTCGCTTTCTTGTTTTTCTCCATATGATTGCCTCTGGTCGTAGTGGTGCGACCTTGAGATGACCCGTACAGGTATTTACAAAAAATTCCAGGTGTTTGGTAATTCGTGTTTGATCCCATCCATGGTTAAAGCAGCGTTGGCTGCGGTTGGCTTGCCTTTCAACGGTGGCGCCCGCATTGCACGTTGGCGACGCACGTGCCGTCCACCATATGGATTTGCCTGTGTTGTCCACCACCCACGTGCTCCTCCGCGTGAAGCGTCGGCCGTCGCGGTCGCCCGCGGTCAGCTTTGCTTTTCGTCGTGGCTTTATGCCTCGAGCACGCGCGCTTCTTCGCGCTACTTGCACCTGCACGGCGTTCTGTCGTGTCCACTGCTTGCAAGGCGGCGGCGCCTGTCTCGCTTGTGCCTGTCTCGCGCCCCCGCTTGCTGGCTGGCCTGGCAGCTTTATAGTGCTCTTCTTCCAACTTGCTTGTTAGCACCAGACTGCTGCCCGCGCTTCAATTCATAGCGTTCAGCTAAGCTCCGCGGGAATCGTGGCCGCTGCATTTTGGCTTTGCAGTGCCTCATTTGCTCACCACCAATTCAAGTCTGCATGGCCGTGGCTGGACTCTTTCATCTCGGCGCGTTCGACCGCGCCTGAAGTTCATCTGCGCCGCCGGCTTAAGAACTTGTGTGAGCGTGTGTGTGTGTGTGTGTGTGTGTGTGTGTGTGTGTGTGCGTGTGTGTGTGTGTGTGTCTGTGTGTGTGTGTGCTGGGCCCCCTCCCCTCCTGCTCGGGTGCTTTCCCCTGCACGCGCGCCTCGCGCAGCCACCCGGTAGTTGCGCCGTGTGGGGCTTGGCCAGTATTTGGCCCAATCTAGCTATCGATGTGGTGGCGTCACTCGGCCACAAGAGGAAACAGTGTGCCGCGGGTTGCTGCTGACATGTCCCGAACAGCTGGTGACCGGCCGATGCTGCTCCGTCGCCGCGGCGGGGAGGAGCATTTGCGTGTGTGTGTGTGTGTGTGTGTGTGTGTGTGTGTGTGTGTGTGTGTGTGTGTGTGTGTGTGTGTGTGTGTGTGTGTGTGGGGGGGGGGCGGGGGGCGCGCACTGACAGCGTCGTCTGGGAGGCCAGAGCGTCAGCTTGGTTTTCACTGAGGGAGGGCGAGTAAAAGAAGGGACGGAAGAGCAGACGCTAGGTCACCCGCAGCGGTGCGAAGTTAACCACAGTTCGCGCATCGTGGCTCGGGTTGGAGAGGCTTTTTGTTGCCAACGTAGCTTCGCGAGGGCGCGAAGATAACCGCGCATCGCGGGGCGCAGTGCGCGAAATTTGGCGACCTAAAAACGGCTTGACGGGGACAGTGGAGGGGTGTGGAGGAGGACGGACGATGGAGGAGTGGGACGGGTGGGGGAGGGGGTTGCAGGATGCAGAAAACACAGGGCGCAAGCGGGGGGGGGCCGAAGGCGGAGGCAGGACAGAGAGGGACAGGGAACGAGGAGGGACGAGGGAGGTCTGCCGGGCACAGCTGGTCACATTGCCGCACGCCCCACGCGCGGCAGTCGTTTTGGGAGGGGGTTCTGGGAACTCTTCCCCCTCCCCCATCCATGGGGAGGGGGCCTGGGCTCCTTAACATGACAAGCGAACTCGGCCTGGCCCGCCCACGGGGCTCTCCTTCGGTGCCTCCATCGGATCGCTCCGGCGTGGTTCATGGCAATTCGCTCTCGCGGCGCCTGGCTCCGGGGATGAAGGACGGGGGAGGGGGCGGGGAAGGCAGGTCAGAGGGCGGAGGGGAGGGAGACTCGAGGTTTACAGCGTTTATATATTCGTCCTCCTAGGTGAGGTCCTGGGGAACTGGGGTCGGCCACTGGTCCTGGCGACCAAGCTCCTGGGAGGGGGTGGAGCCTGGCTCCACCTCCTTGGCCGCGGGGCGCCTAAACCTGTGGCGTTCAGGATCGGGCGGGGAGCTCCGAGCACACGTGCAAAAGTCCGGCGCCCAGGCTTGCCCCTCCCCCTCTTTCGGGACCGACCCCACATAAAGATCCTTCAGAATTTCCGCCTCGGGACCAGAGCTTTCACCTTCAACCTCGTTGCTAAGTTCCTGAGACGCGAACACGGAAACGGTGGCAATCGTGGAGTCAGCAAGGGCCTCAGAGGCCAGGAGGGTAGATCCTCTTTGCGGCCGTCCTGAGACCCGCCTCGGCCCTGCTTGGCCAAAAACGATGGTGTGGGCTTCTCGTCCGTGCCAGCAGCCCCCCCGCCGGGAGTGCTGGCGAGGCGCGCCTGCAGGCCTTTCAGTCTGAGGCCCACAATGCGCGTCGGGGCCCTCCCGGCCTGGCCGCTGCTCGCACTGGTCGAAGTGGGTAGTCGTGACCACCGGGCAGCTCTGCATCACGAAGAGGGGTTCCCACGTCCAGGATGTGACCGCTTGCTGCCGCCACGTGGCCGGAATTGGGTACTCCATCCAGGCCGCTGATCTTTCTCGTGGATGGAGCAGCGCGTTGCCCACCCGGGGCTGGAGCCTCTGCCTCTCCGTCGCCACTCGGACGCCCCAGTACTTGTCGTGTTTCCTAAACGGCGGCGGTCCTGGGGTGTATGACCACCTCGTTTCACTCCATGTCTCACAGGAGGATCTCTTCCACTGATGACCACCTGCCTCGAGAGGATCGCGGGCCACAGAGAAGGTGGCTACGCTCTGTGACTTCATCAGGTCGCATCGGTCCGCGCCGATCGCCACGTCTTTATTCAGCACCGTGGTGACCACTGCCTCCTTCACCTCGGCGTGCACTGCAGAGCTCTGAAGGCAGTGTTGCACGTCGCCGCCGCATCGCCGCCAGCCATTTTTGCTCATGTGGGCTCAGGAGGGCTTAAGGGGGCTCGCACGCACTGTAGGTCTCTGAGTTTCGCGCCGAAGAGCCATTGCGTCACCTCCGGCGTGGTGGGCTGAGGCCGCGAGCCAGTTCATCGACAAAGTCAGCGACAAAACCGAGGAGCAAATCTAGGAGCTCCTCGGTCCCATTCAGCAGGACGCCCAGGGGGTTAACAAGGATGTCGCGGATCTCAACACCGCGCAGAAGGCGTTGGAGGAGTGTGTCGGGTCCCTGGCAATGGGAGGGGTCCGCAGTCCGCAGACAACCTATGTGGAGATATGAGGGTTGTAGAACCGAGAGGAAAGAGCGTCAGTAGGGAGGACCCGCGCACAGGCTACTGAGTTGATACTGGAGTAAAGAGGCTAGCTAGAACAAGCTCTCTGCGAACACGTCAGGGAGATGCATATGCGGGCGGCGACGAACTACTCCTTCCAGGTTCCCATCACGCCCAGGCTCGCGCAGGAGATCTGGAACATGTGGAATGAGTTACAACCCGACGATCCAGAACATGGCGTGAAAGATCCCTGGCCAGGAATTCAATGTCTGGGCG